GCCGGGCAGTTCCCACACACCATCCACGGGCAGCTGGCCCCACAGGAGATGTGCGCACACACTGGGACATAGCAGGAAATAGCACAGGCCGGACGGGCCAGACGACCAGCCCCTCCTTGCCGGAGACCCGCTAGAGACTTGTTAAATTGTCTGCGCACAAAGTCTACAGAAATGATTTTTCTCAGCCTCAACTCTGAAAGCATAGATACTCCTTTATGAAACGTTGACCAAAAACGGGAACCACCAGAGCTCAGACTGTAGCACAATGGGCAAAGCGACTGCCTGCAGCACCAACACCCCAGATGGGTTCTGGTTCAAGTCCTGGCTGTTTCCCTTCCAGCCGTCTCCTTGCTAATGCACCCAACAAAACAGCAGATGGCCCAAGCGCTTGGGATCCTGCACCCCTACCCCTTTTTGTTTATTATTTTTCTTTAAACAGAGAGGAGATGGGGAGAGAAAGATCTTTCATCTGCTGTTTCACTCCACAGATGGGCACAATGGAGGGTGGGGCTGGGCCAAGCCAAAGCCAGCAGTCTGTAGCTTCGCCCGGATCGCCCAAAAAACAGGAGCCCAAACACCTGGGTCCATCTTCCACTGCTTCCCCAGACCATTAGCAGGGAGTGGATTAGAAGTGAATAGCCTGGGCCCAGCGCAGTGGCGCAGTGGTTAAGGTCCTCGCCTTGCACACCCGGGATCCCATAAGGGCACCGGTTCTAATCCCGCTCCCTGCCTGTGGCCCCCATCGGCACAGCGCTCACTTGGGGAGTGAATCATCGGACGGAAGATCTTCCTCTCTGTTCTTCCTCTCTGTCTCTCCTCTCTCTGTATATCTGCCTTTCCGATAAAAATAAAAATAAGTCTTTAAAAAAAAAAAAAAAAGAAGTGAATAGCCAGGTATCAAACTGCCATCCACAGCAGATACTGACAACGTAGGCTACAGCTTTCCCAGCTAACGCACAACTCTGCTTCCTCCTCCCCCCAACTCTGCCTTTCAAATAAATTGATTACACATTTAAGATTTTTTTAAAGATGTATTTTATTTTTTATTGGAAAGTCAGATATACAGAGAGAGAGACAGAGAGGAAGATCTTCCATGAAAGAGAGACAGAGAGGAAGATCTTCCGTCTGCTGATTTACTTCCCAAGTGGTTGCAACGGTCGAGATGCGCAGATCTGAAGCCAGGAGCCAGGAGCTTCTTCCGGGTACCCATGTGGGTACAGGGTCCCAAGGCTTTGGGCTGTCCTTTGACTGCTTTCCCAATGCCAGAACAGAAAGCTAGATGGGAAGCAAGGCTGCTGAGATTAGAACCGGCACCCATATGGGATCCTGGGCGAGTGCGAGGCAAGGACTTCAGCCACTAGGTTACTGCACTGGGCCCTTAATTACACATTTAAAAAAAAATGTTAAAATGTTAAGCACAATAAAGCATTCACTTTCTGGGAATGTGTTGGATGCTGTTTTCAGAGTATGTGCAGGAGCCCTAACGTAAATGTAATTAACAACCTTAGACTTCTACACACATTTTACTGTTGAAAGAAATATCCCCCCCGCAACACACACACACAAAGGGATATGATGCAGGTTGAATGTGTGGCACAAACTGGATATATAAACATTGTTCCTTTGGAAGCATCACAAAGAAAAAAGTATCTTCAAGCATCCTCAACCCCCAGCTGGCTTTCTGATTCTCTTGTCCTCACAATATAATAAAACTTCCACACGAACATCCAAACAAGCTGGAGAAAACTTGTCTGCATAAATTTTAAACCACTTAACTACCTAAACCGAGCCAGACCAATGCATTATTTTATAATTAATACAAACTGTTAAGACCTCACCCATTAAAGATGTTGTTAACACTGAGATAATGGATGGGAACTTGCAGATTACACGTGTAACGCAGCATTTTATGAAGTTTAAAATGTGAGCAGTAAGTCCAGCTACTGACCAGCTGAGAACATTTCGCTCACTTTGGGTGGTTCTGCCCAGCCTGGCTGGCCTCTGCCTGGCTCCCTGTCTTCTCGCTTTCTCTCACTGCTCCTGCCCCACTGACCCTCTGATGCTGCCTCCCGCCCCAGCAGCGCGCCACACTGGACGGAAAGGAGAGCACGCAGAGCTAGTCGGGCAGGGTGCCTCCCGCCTGCTAACCCTTACAAAGCGGATGGCCGAGCCTCTGTGAGGAAGAAGCACTTACAGCGCTGCCTCTGGCCGGGCACACTTGGGGGCAGCCGCCTCTGCGGGGTGCCGCCGCCAGCACCTCATGCAGGTCCCAGGAGTTGTTCCCCCTCCCCACTTGAGGACAGCTGCGCCCCCAGTCCAGCAGCATTCAGGGCCTGGAAACTTTGCTGCCACGGAGGGTGTGGGATGGGGGCAGACCTGGGCTTCCCTGACACAGATTTTCCAGGGACTGCGGAAGGTACAAGATCCTCCCCGGTCTCTCAGGTGCTGGGCTGGCCCAGAGGCTGCCCCGGGGACTCCCTTCCATCCCTCCTGGAGGAGGAGTGCTCACAGTGGGGGGCACCCAGTCACACCAGCGCGGCCAGGGCGCTGCAAACCCTCTGTAGGGTGACCACGAGGACTGCCCTGTGCAAGGACACAACAAACACAACTGTTCAAGGTGGGGAAATGTGTCCTGCAAGCGACTGCAACGTGACTCTTTACCCAGGGGCTGCCTGCACCCAAGACCAATGTGCAGAGACAAAGAGGGGTTCTCACAGTGCTCACTTCACACGCCCTCAGACCCGCCAGGGCCGCGGGAGCTATTTGCATTTCAGTAAAGGGCCGCAGGGTGGGCGACCAAAGGAAAAGGGGGCCTGGGCGAGGCTGAGCCACGCAGGTTAGGCCGCTCCCTGCCACGCAGGCAAGCAGTCCAGATGCTCTGCTTCCCATCCAGCTCTCTGCTAAGGCTCCTGGGAAATAAGAGGATGGCCATGTACTTGGGCCCCTGCCATCCACGTACGCCTGTTGGCCTCGGTCCGACCGCTGCAGCCCTTTGGGCAGTGAACCAACAGATGGAAGAGTATTTTTCTTTGTCTCTCCCTCTCTGAGACAATCTGCCCTTCAAAAGTAAAAACGAATTTGTTTAAAAAAATTACAAAGGTGGTTAAATCCACCATGTTCTACTGCTGCCTCATACAATTTTTCACAACTGGATGAGAGAGAAAAGAAAAAAAAAAAAAAGGTGAGCACACATTCCTGCAACGCCCAGATGTGCTGGAGCTAACTAAGAACGTTTAGTCAGTCCTAGCTCCTAAAGATGCCCAGATGAACTGACAATCCCTCGCAAAACAAGTCTGAAAAAGGACTGCACAGGAATGGACTGGAATTGGGAATGTCACTTTGCAGAAACGGGGTTTGAGGGAAATGAGAAAGCCCAGTTTTCAGCGCCTGGGGGCTTGCCCTCCTGAGGGGCGGGAGTACCCCCCACCCTGAGGAGTTCCAGGACCCTAAGCAGCCCCCTTCACCATCCCTGCAACGCCCACCAAACCCAGAACCCTCTCCTGCAGCCCCTAAGCTATAGGCATACAGGACAAGGGGGGGGCAGAAGTATGGAGAGAAACAAAGTCCACTTTGAGGGAACCACGAGGTCTTGTTCTGTGGGGCACTGAGGTGAACAAATACATGTTTCAGAGACTCCAGGTGTGCCCCCCCAAATCAGGGCCCCTTTAATCAGCCTGCCCTCCAAATCCACATGAACCTTCACCATTAAGAAATAAGTTCCAGCTCATTAACAATCCCAGTGGTCACCCCCACTAGCCTGGTCGAGCTCACTCCTAATGGGCGATTCAATCAGCCCTCTTACCCAGGGAATCACCAAGTTACCCCAGTCTCCACAGCAGTGTGAACAGGATGCAAACCCGATTGTAGAGAACTCCCCCCCCCCGGGCTGCCCCCTTCACCCCCAAAGAGAAAGAAATAAGGAACGCAGCCCCTTCCAACGGGAATCGCTCCCACTGAGAGGCCGGCCTCCCGCGCTCTCCTTACAAGAAGCACTTCAGCACGTGCTGAAGCAAGGGTGCCCATAAAACCGTCTTGGATGGAAGAGGAAAACAAAAGCCCCAGAGCCCCAAGTCTCCTCAACATCACTCCATCCTCCAAAGCAACTTGCCCAGGTGTGGGGAATTGGGGGTGCGAGGGGAGCGGGTGTTTCCCAGAACTTTCCATCCAGGTCCGTTTCCACCAAAGTTTACAAAGTAAATAAAGTAGGACTGCCCGTTACGGGCAACAGCCCACTGCAAGTTTGTCAGAAAAATCACTGGACTCCCAGCTCAGGATTTGAGGAGAGGGCGTGGGGGGGGGGCCGACCGGGTCACCACGGCCGTGGACCGGTCCACAAGCGGGGTTCCCAGCGCAAAGGCTGTGCTACAAGAATCCACCTCGGGAGACAATGACTTCATGTGGGCCACCAGGCAGGAAGTCAGGCTGCGAGAAGCAAACGGATAAGTCTTGGGGGGGACCCCAGGACCACCACCCCAACCGCCCCCCCCCCACCCAGGGCCTCAAGAGAAAAAGTCCTCGACTGCCGCCAAGCTACCTGGAGGAGAAAACGGGGACCCCGCGGGGAGACCATCACTTGGCGCAGGAGACCACAGCGCCCGACGACTCCCGAGGCGACGGGCGTGGGCTCCGCTCCCGCCCAGGTCTCTCCAGCCCCAGGGTCGCACAGGAGGGGAAGGGGACAAAGCGGAGCTCGCCACGCCAGCCCCTACAACTTTGCCCGGGGGCCGGGAGTCCCCGGGAGGGCGCACAAAGGCGCCGAGCTCGGTGACAGCCACAAGTGGCCGGGCACGGGCTCCGCGACCCCCGCCCGCGCGCACGGCACCGGGAGCCCCCCGCGGGCGCCGCCGCGCGGGCAACTTTTCCCTCGGGAGCGAGCGGGGAGGACCCCCCCAGGGGACGAGTGGCGACCCAGGGACCCCGTCCCTCCCTCCCCGCCCCCCACCGCGGCCGCGCGCCCAGGGGCACCCGGAGCGCAGCCGGCGCCCGGCGGGGCCACCCACCTGCACAGCTCGGGGAACTCGGCGGCCTGGGCCTGCGCAGCCACCGGCACGTTCACGAGCAGCAGCAGCAGCAGCAGCTGCGGTGGCAGGAGCAGGGAGCGCAGCGGGCGATCAGCGGGCACGGGCCCCAGGTGGGCGCTCCTGCCCGCGGCAGCGGCGGCGGCCCGCCTCATCGCTCCGGGCCCGGGAGGCACGGAGGGAGCGGGGCGAGGGGCGCGCTGCTGCCCGGGGCCGCGCACGGGACGCGGTCGCACCGCCAGGGTGGAGGTGGAGATGCAGCCGGAGCGGAGCCGGGGAGGCAGCGGAGAGAGCCGCGGCCCGAGACGAGTGCGGCTCGGCTGAGCTCGGCAGCACAAGAAGCAGCAGAGCGGCAGCGGCGGCGGCCCGGAATCGCGTCACGTGACCAGGGCGGTCCCGCCCCTTCCCCGCCCCCAGCTCACGTGACGCTCTTGTTCAGGTGATCCGGACCCGCCCCCCGAGGCTCCGCCCTGGCCCGGTCACGTGAGCGCGGGCGGCCCCGGACGGGAAGCGGCGCCGCGAAACCGGGCGAGGCAGCCGTGCCAGGTGCGGCCTGGGCGCGCGCCCCCCCCGGCGGCGATGCAGCGCCGGGACTCAGTTTCCCTCCCGGTGTGATGGGGGGGTGGGGGGGACCGTGGCGCCTCCTCCCAAAACACAGCCACGTTCCCAGGCTCGGCCCCGGCAGGGAGGGAGTTGCCGCCAGGCTCGGGCGCCGTCAGCTTCCCCAGCCCGGGCTGCCTGAGGCGGGGAGGCGGCGCCCGCCCAGAATCCCGCCAACAAAGCCGGCCTGCTTCGGTGGCAACGGCCGGGAAACGAGGCTGCTCTGAGGAGGCGCGGGCTCGAAACTTGCCCTCAGGCTCCCCGCGACAGGCCGAGCGGTGCGACCTAGCCAACCGCGCCCCGGTCCCTGAGAGGCGCCACGTGCCAGCCCGGGCGGCGGGAACCCGCTCGAGCCGAGACCCAAGGCGCGGAGGGGTGACTCCCTCAGCGGTGTGCCAGCGCCAGCACTCCAACACGCGCCCGGGAACGCAGCCCGCCATCCCGAGGCTGGGGGAAAGCGGGACGGACGCCTGCACGCCGGGTTGTTTTCGGAAAGTTCTTTGAAGCACCCTCCTTGACTAGCTGATAGAGACCAACTCAGTGAAACAGCCAGGGGTCTGCGCCCAAGGCCAGTGCGCCCTTCCCTGCGGCACAGCCACCACGCTCTATTGTAAGAAAGCCCGCAAAAGCCAACAGGGTCGCAGGGGCGCCAAAGAATTCCAAGGTCACGTGTGGGCATCAAGAAAGGCCTTATGTTTTTGCAGCTCTGTGTTAAATAGCTCTAAGCTGGGGTCATCAGTGAATATCAAACCCATCGGGGTAAAAAGTGGTCGTGAGGGAGCCCGTGCGGTGGCAAGGCATGCTGTCCTAACTGCACCTGCTCAGCGGAAGGACCTGGTGAGGCCACCATACTCAAGTGGCTGAAATTGGAAAATTGACACATTCTGGCTCCTGAAGTGACGGAACAGGAAACACTGCTAAAGAATGTGTTTCTAGAAATGCCCGGTGGGTTCTTTCCTCAGCTTGGTATAGAAATTAAAAGCCAGGAATCTGTTGCAGACAGAAAAGTTTATTTGCGAAGGAACCAGGTGAGCAAGGAAGGGGAAAGCGCCTCGGGAGAGAAAGCCAGGAGAGAGAGAGAGAGACATACTGTTGTGCCCAGATTTTGAGATCCCCAAAAATCCCTAGGAGTCTGAAGTCGATCCAGGTGCACAAGGATGGTTTATCCAAGCTCAGCACAGCCGAGCCTGGGTTCTTGGTTGAGAGCAGCTGGCTGACCGACACCCCTTATAGGGGCAGTCCACGATAGCTTGAAAGGGGCAGTTCACAGTAGTCTGCAAGGTGAGGGGAAATACCACACATTCCCTACCTGTCTCGGCTGGACAATCCCTACCTCCAGCAACTAAGGGAAGCACCCACTGAATTACTTGGAACCACCTGTGAGATAACCAGACTTAGGTGGGCCTTGATTCATCAGAATTGGGGCCCATCAGTGCTAAAGGTCACATAGGCAGTCTGGCATGCAAGCTCACACAGTTACTTAGTAGCAATGAGCCAGGAACAAGTGGTTGGGAGTTTGATGCTGAGATTCTTCAACACCAAAGGGGTCTTTGGAAGTGTCTGGGGATTTTAAGCATTCCCTGACCCCTCCTTGTTGGGCGGGAGCCTACAGGTAAGATGTTCCCCATTGGTGGTCTCCTAATCAGTTAGGAAATGGGTGGGCAGTGCTGGTGCCGCCCACCTGAAGGTGTGGCCAAAACGTCAGCCTGGACAGTCTCAGAATGTTGAAACGGGAATACCAGCGTGACTGACGCATATGCACAGTGCACACGTGTCAAGATATTCTCTAATTCCATAATGAAATTGAGAGCCAGTTACACGTCCCAACTCATTCCCAGGAGACTCCAAAGAGCTTCCAAAACACAAGCATATGTTCATAAAACCCATTTTTCTGTAGATTTCTTGAAGACCTTTTGCAGGCAATTAGGGAAGCAGAAATGAATTTGCCTAACAGATGGAAATTAGTCAGTATTTGTAGGTCAAAAATTAACTGTACATCCAGTGACTACAATGTCATTACTAGTAGTATTATTGTTGTTGTTATTATTATTGAAAAGGCAGATATACAGAGAGGAGAGACAGAAAGATCTTCCATTTGCTGGTTCACTCCCCAAGTGGCTACAATGGCTGGAGCCGGGCTGATCGGAAGCCAGGAGTTTCTTCCAGCTCTCCCACATGCATGTAGGATCCCAAGGCTTTGGGCCATCTACTATTGCTTTCCCAGACCGCAAGCAAGGAACTACATGAGAAGTGGAACAGCCAGGCTACGAGCCAGTGCCCATATGGGACGCCGGCAGATGCAAGGTGAAGATTTAGCCACTAGGCTATCAAGTTGGGCCCGACATTTTTCTTTTAAAAGATGTATTTGTGGAGCTGGCTTTGTGGCGTAGCAGGCTGAGTCTCCTCCTACAGCACCAGTATTCCATATGGATACCTGCTTGTGTCCTGGCTGCTCCACTTCTGACACAGCTCCCTGTTAAGGCACCTGGGAGAGCAGTGGATGAGCCCAAGTCCTCAGGTCCCCGAGCCCACAGGGAGCATGCACTGGTTTGTCCCCGCAGATGGCACCACAGGCAAGCAGGAGCCAGGAGCTTCATTCAGGACTTGCACATGACTGGCAGGGTCTCAAACACTTGGGCCATCTTCCAGTGCTTTTCCCGGGCCGTTAGCGAGGGAGCTGGATTGGAGGTGGAGCAGCAGGAACCAGCATCCATTTGGGATGCGGGCATCACAGATGGCGCAATGCCAGACTTACAACTTGTGTCTCTGAAGACAGACATCACAGTTATCACCATCAGTGCTTTTGCAGTCTTTGAGTTGTAAAATATCTGTGAGGCGGTGAAGGCCACACAACCCCGTGGAGGCAGTAGTGTAGCCTGTTCTCTGTGGGTTCATGCTACGGGGCGCCACGGTTTGGATGTTGCGTGTGTTTCCACAAAAGGTCATGTTTTGGAGACTTGGTACTCAGCATGGTGGAAGGATCTGTAAGAAGCTGGGCCTGCAAGAAGAGCCGTAAATGCATTAGGAGCATCCACTTGGCAGGGTTTGTGGGAACCTCGTGCCTCTGGCTCCTGGTGGTGTGACCACCTGTTCCCCCTCCTGCCCTCTACCATGCAGGCACACAGCTGCAGGGGGGAGGAGCTCCTCACAAGAGCCAGTACTGTGCTGTTGGGACTTCCAGTTTCCAAAATCGTGGGCTCAATAGCCTCTTTTCTTCACGAAGTTCCAGTATTTTGTGATAGGAATGCGAAACTGATTAGTGTGTATGTGTTTTCAATTCCCTGCAGCCTACTGCAAGCCAGAATATTAAATGGCAATTTTTTATAATAATTAATTAGCCAGCATTGTGGCATATCATGTTAATCCACTGAGATGCTGACCTCCTGTATGCGCACTGGTTCAAGTCCCAGATGCCCTGCTGATGCACCTGGGAAAGCAGAGGGAGACGGCCCAAGTGCTGAGCCCTCGCACCCACATGGGAGACCTGGGCGGAGTGCCTGGCTGCGGAATTCAACGTTCCAGCCATGGCCATTGTGTCCATTTGGAGAAAGCTATCTCTTGCTTTCTCTTTCTGTATAACTTTGCCTGCCAAATAAATAAATCTCTTTTTTAAAATAATGAAGTTTCAAATAACTTAATTGTATTGTTGTAATGCTCCTGTTACTGTTGTGGTAACCCCTCACTATGTCTAGTGGATGAATTAAAGTTCATTGTGAGCATACACATACCAGAGAAAGCTGTGTTTCTATGCTGCGCTGTCTTTAGTGTTGGGCGCCCTCTGTGTTTAAGTTCACCAAGAATACGTTAATGCATCTCAAAGTCATTCACAACTTTTCCCTGCCATGTACTCTGCTACTTATGTGTCATTCTTCTTTTTAAGTATTAGTTATTTATTTGAAAGACAGAGTATACGGAGAGAGGGAAACAAAAGAGAGAACTTTTCCATCCTCTGACTCACTCCCCAAATGGCCACAACAGCCAGGACTGGGCCAGCCGCAGCCAGGAGCCAGGAGCTTCTTCCTGGTCTCCCACATGAGTGCAGGATCCCAAGACTTAGGGCCATCCTCCACTGGTTTCTTAGGCCACAAGCGGGGAACTGGATGGAAAGCGGAGCAGCAGGGATACTAACCAGCGCCCATATCAGATCCCGATCGATTCATGGTCAGGGCTTTAGCCACTAGGCTACTACACCAGGCTCTAGACGGCTTTTTCTCCCCCAGTGTTTCTGTAAGTCTGACTTTCAAAGTAAAAAGTTGCAAAAGAGATTCCATAGCGAAAGAGGCTGACGCTGGAAAAATAGGGAGAAAGAAAACAGGGCACCATGGGCAAGCAAAGCAGCGACTCTTACGTCATGGCGGAGAGATACAGATACTCGGCCTTATGCCCGAGTGAAAGTCACCTAGGTACAGAAAAAAAAAAAAAAAAAGACTTCAGGCCCCAAATTGTGCTAACTTCTGAGCCCAGAAAACGCCCCTCTTCCTTGATGGAGACGATCTCTGTGAGGCTGGACCAGTTTTGTTGCGCTCAGCTCCTGGAGCTTCTGAAACAGTCACCTGGGAACTCTCAATGGAATTGGACCAAAAATGGGGAGCAGAAACAGCTGGCACAACAAGCACCAGGAAGGTTCACCTTGCGTGAGAAACCATTCATTATGCCACTTATTCTTCATAGCA